GAGAAGATTCTCCTACGGTAGCTTTATTCTCATCCTTTCAACGAATGAATTCATTTCTACGAAGGTTCTTAACAATGAATTCTTAATTCCCCAGACGAATATGCAACAGCGTTATAGCAATAGCTCTTAAGAGTTCCTTTATTATTAAGTAAAGAAAATTAAAGTACTCGGAAAAGTACTCTCGTGGTCGAGAGTTATATGGAAACTGTTCAAAATCAATCGAACAATTTTACTTTTTGTAGAATATTTTTTTTTTTTCTTTTTTCTTTTTTCTTTTTCAAGAAACCCCCTTATCGAGGACCACTTGTAAACTAAACGGTGTTTCTTTCACTTACATACGATGGTTGTGCTGGCGGTGATCCCTTTTTTCCAGTCTCATATTACCAAATACGGGGAAAGTTAGTTTCCTATTGGAGAGATAGAGAGATATGTATTCCAACTATTCACCTCTATGGCGTATCTCTCTTACTAAACTTTCCTTCTTCTTTTACATATCTACTATTTTCTCTTCTCTGATCTATTCTATATTTTATTTCAGCGAAATTGTCTTTTAGAGTGGCTTACAAATATATTTCAATAAGGGACGCAATATTTCGAAGTCACTTCTATTGGCTCTTCTTGAATCTTTTGATTTGCTTGCTCCCTTTTTCTCCTTTACTACGTCAAAGAGATTTGCAACTCTTATATAGACGTCTGCTACCATAAATCTATCGCTTGTTTGCCACGAAAGACTATTTCCTATTACTTCGAGCTTACATACTTTGGTATACATATATATATATACCTAGCATTGAAAGCCGTATGCGAAAATGAGAGAAAGAAAATGGAACAGGAATTTACGGGCTTACGTTATATTTACATTGTCTTTTATTCGATACATATATATATGTATATATATTGTATATATCGTTCTTTAGAAAAGACAACTGTCCTTTAACATTTATCTGTAACAAGAGGGAACGATGCGTACACATATATCCTTCTTGTTTGCATAAATTCTTTTAAATAGCTAACATACGTTTACATATTGCATAAAGATACGTAAGCACATACGTTACTAAACATCTTGTTTTCTCGTTTTACATCGTATTAAGAATAAAGCCGCACGTGGTATACGGTGGTTTAATCCAGTGAGAAGAGGGGTTGTGGCATCTCCTAACACTTGTCAATATCAAACCCCCCTTTGGACTATTTACGACAAGGGACATCTATCGATGTTTTTTCCTTGTTGCCCCTTCGATTTTTAAAAGCGTTAATACGTTACACAAATAAACTACGCGAGAGATCGCGCGCTAAAAGTCGTCACCAACGGCACTGTATGGCTTGGCAAACTTGTCGCATATGGCCAATCACGGAACGGGGGAAAAGGGGGTTAGGGAGGAGGAGGGAGTAGGAGGCGAGGGGTTGAATTCTCTCTCGTTCCATGTGGATCGATCCAGGCTGGAAAAGATAGTCTACATGCATGCGTGACAGTCGATCGTTTAAACCTCAAATATTTGCGTTCTTTAAAATCCCACTCTTTCTCCCTTACTATTTTTTTTTTCTTCCTTCTCTCTTTACCTCTAATACGAGCTTTTAAGCATTTCATTCTATTACAAGAGGATCGTTTCGATTAATATCAAATGGATTGAAGGTGTCCCTTTCCTCGAACTCACTTTCAACTAACTGAAAATAATTCAACTAATTATCCTTTATCGGAGCTTCGTCATTGGTGTCAATGGCTAGGTTCTTCCCCCGTTGCTAGGACAAAACGGAAATCGATCTTGTTAAGTACTTTCGTACTATCGTTCTCTTCTTCTGTTCTTCGATAAAATGTATAAAGGTTGATAAGTAGGAGAAATATGTCGACTCCATCTATTGGCGCGATACTTTGCTTCAATTAATATGCGCTAACGTTGTTAATTAAGTATGGAGTACTCGTAAAAGAGAAGATAAAGGAGTAAGAAAGACTTTCTTCCCTCTGGTTCCTTTTCAAACATTTTCTCTTTCCCTTTCTATTTCTCTTTTACTCTTGATCACACTTACTCATGTTCGAAACAAAAGGGTTTGACGGTGCGTGCTTACTCCTGCAAGCTAGCTGACGAGAAGGGCAGAAGGGTACCTTAACTTAACTTCGATATCACATCACAGACGATATTATCCGTAGGAGAGTGCTCGAGAATATTATACGTACGTGATATATACACTCTCACCCCTCGTCGTAAAGGCTACTTATTTAACTCACTGGTACTTGAGTCTGTTAAACAGTGAAACATGGTGCATGTACTATTGAGGAAGAAGCAGGAAGCATCAACCTAACCAAGTTCAGTACCAACTATTACTAAACGTATTATCGATCCCTGTTCTTGTTCACTTACTCTCTCTCACTCTCTCTCTCTCTCTCTCTCTTCAACAGAATATTAGATTTCCTACGAATTTTAACGCTGGTCGGAGGCCAAAGGGCAAGCAGGCAGGCAGGCAGGCAGGCAGGCAAAAAAAAAAAGAAAACAGGAAGGCAGAATGGCAAGAAGGCAGGAAGTAAAGAGGCCATCGTGAATGAATTTACTGGTCTCCGGTAGTTAATTAGGTACTCGGTATCTACTACCTCCCTCCCACCCTTTTATCAGGACATTATTATGTTAAAGTAATTGAGCGATCCACAAGAAGACAAAGTTAATCTAATATTTCATGTAAACGCATTTCTTCGAGTCCAAAGTTATATTTTCTAAACCGCAATTTTATAGTTAATAAGTTAAAGCAAGGAAGTGTAGCTATCCAAGTTTCTTCTATTATTTTTTTTTCTTAGACAATTTAAGAACGTCATAGTCAAAGTTTCTAAATGGATTACATAGATAGTATTCAAAGAAATTTCAATTATCGATAGAAACGTATCGACGTAATAATCCTTTTTCATTAGTCGAATTGAAAGAGGAACGAACGTAGCTGGTTACTTTTTTTTCTTTCCTAAAGAAAAACTCCGTAGAAGAAGATAAATCGCGAAACGTAAGGAAAGAAGAAAGGAAGGAAGGAAGGAAGGAAGCAAGCAAGCAAGCAAGGTAAATCGTAGCTTCCTTCGTAGAAAACGAACGAGTTGCACTGTGTGTAGGGAGGACATCGGTTCTTAGGTTTGTTCGAGGCACGTTTCTCAGACAGGAAGTGGAGAAGGTAAAAATGTAAGAGGGAAGGGAGGGAACAAGTAGAAGGAAGAAGGAAGAAGAAGAAGAAGAGAAGGAGGAGGAGGAGGAGGAGGAGGAGGAAAAAGGCCCGTAGAAAATACCAAGGAAAAATTCCAATATGCTTCGAAACTCTTGCGACCGTGCATGGAATGCATTCACGTCCTTGATTGTGCTTGGGAAGCATATTTTTCTCGTACTTCCGATATTGCAGTGAGACGCGGTCCCTATACTCTCTCTCTCTCTCTCTCTTTTTTCTCTCTTTTCTCCCTCTTTTATAACTGCCTGCGTCACTGGTCCTTCCACTTTTCCCCTTTCCCTCTTTCATATTCTCGTCCTTCTTCAGGAACGCAAGGTGTCTCATCTTTGGAGCGTGCGTTTCTTTTCGGAAACGAACGGTACAGAGAAAGATAGATAGAGAGAGAGAAAGAGGAGAAAAAGAAGAAAAAGGAAAAGAATATAGGGATAGTCTGGCGAAGTGAATTGTGGTTGTACCACGAAGCTACATACAAATGTTCTGTAACTCTCAGAATCTCCTTCTGTAAGACCTCGCTTCGCCAACCGAAACGTCGACGTTGTCCCACCCATCCCTTAGTCGTACGAAGTACGCCATCGAAGAAGGGAAATATGCTTTTCTCTATATTATGCGTACGCCTGCAGGACGTAAAACTGTTCTGTCTGCTCGAGCGAATCACAGCTTGCGCTCGTCCGAAAGCTTGCCGCATACTTTTCTGTTATTTCTTCGAATTACTTTGTTCGGAGAAGAAACGCGTTTCTCTCTTCCCGACATTATTTATTAAAACTCATATTTCACTTCTATATATACTATATATATATATATATATATATATATTTACAATACATATAGTAGAGGTATTATAGGTATCTCCGAGTAGATTTATGAGTTTACTCGTAACGATCGATCGTTCTCACGATTTTATCGACCTATTGATTATTTTAGTCTTCTTCTAATATTTACGATGTTAAAGGGACGTAAAAGGGATGGGTAGTAGAGGTTTATATAACGGGTAGGAAATAACGAACGAGCGTATATATCATAGTACAGCGTTTGGGGATAACGTGCTTATTTAGAGGTTAAAGCTCCATTTGGCTTATCGGCTATCCCTGCTACTAAGCTTTTTTACGGGCCTATACATACGGTCGGCTAATGTAAAAATTGTGCGCGTTAGTTGGCAGAAAAGTTCGATGAGAACGATAACGTTAGGCCTTCTATTTCAGGTATCGATTTCACGAGAACAACGTTCGTTCGCCAACGGTTGTACGAACGCCATTTGCTCGCTTTTAAATTACAGAAACGAGGGGTTAGCAGAAACGAGCGATTTACAGAATATTACGCGCAGTAAAATCACCTTGCTAGAGACATTTGCCCACTCTCTCTCTCACTCTCTCACTCTCGTTGTCTCGCTATCTTCACGTTTAGTTGCACGCCATCTGCACTTTTCTCATTTATTCGGCGTACGTCGAGTAAATACATGAGAGACTCTAATAAAGAAAGGGGTACAAGAATATATTATTTCTTTCCACGCCTATCTCGATGTTTCTTATGATTTTGTATTATTTTCTTTATACAATAACGCGCCGTCAACCGTTTAAATACTCGATTAATGTTTCACGAGAAGATAACATCTGTTATATGTATAATATAATCGGTTTTCTTCGCGAGAAACGAGATATAGCGAGATCGTGCATCAGATCGTTTCGATCGATATGCAAGCCTTGATAACGTCGTTTCTCGGAAAGACAACCTTGAGAGTAGTCGGATCGATCGAAAACACTCTTTTAATCTTTTATTCTAATTCCTTTTCTCTCTTTTTATTTTATCACCAGGTGATGCATCTGCCTCGCGGCAAGGTCTTGGAAATCTCCACGAGGAATTCAACAAACTCGTTGCCCTCGATAATGCCTGTGTAACGACATTCGTTCAGAATACAACAGTCGGTTCTTATCATCCAAAATCCGTAAAATTCGATATATTCGTCTTGAAAGTCACAGTACGTTTACGTGCTCGACGTGTTTTTTAATAACTTGTCTTATTTCGCGTAAATGTTTGGACACTTGAGAGAGAACAAAGTAAATAAAGGATAAAAGGATAAACGTAGAAAATTGAATATCAAAAAGAAAAGTAATAAAAGAAATATAAGAAAGATTTAAAAGTATAATATTAGATACGCATTACCGATTTATCGAAAGAGAAACGTGTCGATTCTCTTGGTAATCAGAGCACGGATGATACTAGATTGAACTTTATCTCGATAAAATCAACTAGCGAGCTTAGCCACGCGTACCCAGTCATTGGGTACGGTAGACACTTGGCCAAAGACCAGCATCAAGATAAGCTCAGCGAGAGCTGTGGCCCAAGATGCGCAGGAACGGGTGGTGCCGTTAGTGTTGGACGACAGCTTGCTCGAGAGGCCACCAGAACCAGAAGGGGGCCACGAAGAAGGCCCCCAGAAGGGCCTGCTGGATGGTCTAGTTTGCGAGCGACCATTGTCGCCGCCATCATCCACATCGGTGTTGTTGTCTAAGTCCCTTGATTCGGATAAAGAGAGCCACGAAGAGAAAGAAGAAGAAGAAGAAGAAGGAGAAGAAGAAGAAGAAGAAGAAGAAGAAGAAGAAGAAGAAGAAGAAGAAGAAGAAGTAGGAGGAGAGGAGGAAGGAAAGGGGAGGTTGGAGGAGAAAACGGAGGGAGAACTCAGAGATAGTACTGGATCTGTTCCGAGTGCGCTGGCGGACTTTGAGTTAGAAACCGCCGACGAGAAGGAATACACGATTCAAGTTTGTCTTTCATCACCGGACGGCCCAGTCTGCGTTCATCGAAAGAGACAAGCAGAGGAGGACTATCATCACCACCACCACCATCTTCATCATCACCATTACGATAAGCAGAAACAGAAGCAATTACAACAACAGCAACAGCCTTCTTCGAGACAAGAAGAACAGTGCCAAAACGATACGAAATCTTTGAGAATAACAACGTTGGACAACGTCGAGGTTTCCCGTAATAGAATTTGCGAGGAAGGTAGACAGCAGAGAACCTTCTATTGCAGAAATCATCTTCATTCTCCTCATCATCATCATCATCATCATCGTCATCATCAACGTCATCAAGGAGGAAGAGGTGAAGGTGGCGGCGGCGGCGGTGGCGGTGAAGGAGGAGGGCGGCCTGGAATCAATCAGAATTATCGTCTCTGTCGAGTTCATGCTCGGAGGAGAGAATTTTCGAGGGACAACAAGCAGCCAAAGGAAGAAGAACGAGCAGAAGAAGAGGATCGTCGAGATTTGAGACACTCGGAGGAAATCGAGTGTGCGATCATACATCTCGATCAGGATCCGATTCTTCGTCCGGTACAGGTACTCGGTTGTCCTCCTGCGGAAGGACAAGAGATTTCCTCGTTCTTGGAACCGACTGTAATTAGTGGTGTTGGTAGTAGTGGTGGTGGTGGTGGTGGTGGTGGTGGTGGTGGTGCTAGTGTTGTTGTTGGCTTTGGTGGTAGCACTAGCAGTGCTCCTACCGCTGGACAAAACGTGCCATACGTTTACGGTGGACTTTGCGCGAGCGGAATTGCGACGGAGGGTCCTTGTTACGATCTGTACAACCCGGATAACATACGGCCGAAGAGCCGTGTCGGGAGTCGCTTCGCCAAAATCCTCGAAAGACCGAATACCGCGGTGAAGGACGTTAATCGTAAAGTGCTGGCAATGATCCGCGTTATGACGCCTTCCTGGTCGTTACGTTTCCTCAGCGTTAGCTGCGGTTCCGTGGTCTGCGCTTGGGGACTCCTCCTTATACTCTCAGTTCTCGGTAGTGGTGCATCACACGGTCCTGGCACCGGCATCGGCAGTTTTGGCATTGGAAGTCTTTCCGGTACTATGGACGATCTCAACACAGCAAGTTGTCCTTGGGCTTGTTCCTGTGGAGGTCAAGAGGTCGACTGTTCTCATCGAGGACTCACGCAGATACCAGGCGACCTGGGTGCACTTCTTCCCGCCGAAAAATTGTGAGTTATTTTTACCTTACCACTTTCTACATTTATTTTCTTTTCTTTCTCCGTTCATTTATTCAAGCTAATTGCAAGTCAGCTTCCGTGAGCACACATTCCCGGTACTTTTCCGAGGACCAAGTCCAAACAAAAGGTAACGTGTATATATCCGCTGTTTCGCTAGGAAAATCTCATTTCATTCGAATATTTAACGAAACTTTTCTTTCAGCATGGTAAATACCTCGATCGTTTATAATTAACATGTTGACCCTGAAACCTCACAGTGAATCAGGTTAAACGTCATCATATTCTACATAATTCTTTCATATTCTTCTAACAATAAGTCGAAAACTCGGCGTAATAATAGTATAGTGAAGCGAGTCATCGTTATAAGTGGATATATCGAGGGGGTCGTTTTCTCTTTGGTTATTCACGATTCATGCTGTTTGCTTTGTTGTTTGGCTCATTTCGAAAGAAAACAAAGTCTTGCTTTTATTACGGTGAAAAAGAAGAAGAAAAAAGGGGGACACAAGCTCCGAAGTGGAATATGAAAGAATGAGAGAACGATGCATACAGAATGCACTTGCTTCTACCCCGATAAGTTTCCCCTTTCGTACTCTAACATGTATGCTTTTTCTTGTTGTTCTTCTTCTTCTTCTTCAAAAGGATCCGATCAAAGTATAAAATGCAATTCTAGTTTAAGTGAATGACTCGATCTTTTTTACTTTTCCCCCATCGAGCCACTTCAGTAAAGCTATCGACATAATCCAACGTCATTTACACCCTCTCCTATTTATACACCTTTCTTTTTCTTCTTTTCTAATCGTTAGAAACGGTGTAGGTTTTAAGTGTCTCGACTTTTATAGTTTGTCGCGATAAAGGTGCCATAACGAGATGCATTAGGTAGTCAAAGAAAATTACAACTTGATACATCGAAAATATCTTAGCTGTTTACTGATATTTTCTCGAACGATCAAGAAAACGAGATGCAAAGAAAGAATGTGTGTGTGTGTGTGTGCGCACGAGAGAAGAGTAGGGAAGAGGAGGAAGGGGAATGTTCATTTTACAAGTACGATGATGGGAAAATAGATATCATACGTCGTGCGTTTTAATGTCGTCTCGTGCGTATATAAGCATTTATCTTCGCGTCGATACACTTTGCTGAGCATAGTTTTAGCAGCTATGTTATAACGTTTTAACACTTTCCATACGATCGTCGCTAAAGTAAAGGCACGCGAGCATGATCCAACTAACGTTCTTTTTCTCTCTCTTTCTCTTTCTCTCTCACACTTTCCGCTTCACCACGAGGGATTTTTTTCAGCTTACATTACTACGGCTCGTCACGAAATATTCATAGCGACGTGTACACGACGAGTTAAGGGAGGCCAAGAGAGTATGAGAGAAATAAGAGAGAGAGAAAGAGAGAGAGAGAGAGAGAGAGAGAGAGAGGTGAGACCCAGACGCTGGAAGAACGGACTAATTAAATCGGCACATTAATCTAATTGGTACAAATTACAACACGGCGATACTAGGTATCTAGATGAGCTCAACGACGGCGCGTTTAATCTCTGTTCTCTTTCTCTCTCTCTCTCTCTCTTTATTTTTTTCTCTTTTCTTCACTCTTTCATCCTTGTCGTAAGATGTGTAACATCATTTTAATAAATCGATACGCGGTTTACAAAATCTGTCGACGTGTATGAGAAAAATAAAAGATTAAAGACGAGGGTTGTTTAGTTGCTTATATTCTTTCTTTCTTTTTTTCTTGTTTTTGATTTCTATTTTATTTTTTTTTGTTCTCGTTCCTTTTCTTAAAGAGTCGTTCTTGTCGTCGTTCTCATCGTCGTTCTCATCGTCGAGGGTGTCGAGGCAATTGCCGTGCGAGATCGCACGTCGATAAATCCGCGCTCGAGTATAACAGGGACCCATTAACAGTGGTCGATTAGCATTCGATTAATATGCCGTCGGCGTGCGCGACCGCGAATAATTAAATCCTCGAAATACATTAGCGCAAAGTTATTGCTGCGAACGAGAACGTACGGTGGTCCGGTCCTATCGCGATAAAAACAAAAAGTTAAAAAAAGAATAAGTAGGAAGGAAGGAAGGAAGGAAGGTTGGTTGGTTGGTTGGTTGGTTGGTTCGAAAAGAAAGTTACAAAAAGTCAGTTCGAAGGATTTGAAAGAAACAAAAAAAAAAAAAGAAAGAAAAGGAAACAGGAGGAGGAGGGAGGACAAAATTGTCTCGTATTTTTTTCGTCAGGAATGGTAAGAAGGAGGAACTTCAACCATTAATACGTAATACCTTCTTAAGACAGATTATGCATGCTTAAACCTGATCCGAAAGGAAAACGCCCTTCTTCTTCTTCTTCTTCTCTTCGTTGTCGTCGTCGTCGTCGTCTTGGTCGTATCCACCGACGTTCTCACGTTTCAAAGGATTTGCATGCACGATTCGTCTCTTCGAATTTCGGTGAGAATCCTTCTTCGCTTTTACTCAATTTCTAAGAGAAAGAGAGAGAGAGAAGGAACAACAGAAGATGCTTTCGAACGTTTTCGAAAGGGGGAAAGATTAAAACCCGCTCGTGTTCGCGACGATACGAACGACACGCTAGCAATTCCATCATAAATTTGTATAATTAATGTTGCTCGAACGTTCGTCTTTCTACAAGAGGAATAAGGTATATATATATTATTTAACTATGAAAGACGGATGAATTATTGCATTTACAGATTTCTATCGTCGCTTTTCATCATTGATAGTTGAAATATCGTCTTGTATTTTGGATGTAAACGAGCAAGAGAAGGAGAAGAAGGTAGAGGAATAGGATGACTATGAAAATCTCGTCGGTTCTAATAATTATTACTATATACCATGTTAGTTACATAAGATTTATTAAATAGTGCGTTTCATGGGTAGTGAAGGGTAGGTAGCGGTGATGTTGGTGGTAGTGGTAGTGGTAGAGGTAATGGTTGTGGTAGTGGTGATGGTGGTGGTTGTGGTTGTGGTTGACTCCCCGAAAGCCGAATAAGAAATATTTGTCTCTCTCAGCATGAAAATGACAGGTGTCGTTATAGAAAAAGAAATACCATTCGTTTCGGTCCGGCGCTTGGTCGTTTAGCCAAATTGATTTCCGTTCGAAAGCTCGATCGTTTGCTTCCTAGAGCATAGTAATAGAACCAGAGAAAAGGCTTAATGGGTTGGTTCTTCGATCACGAGGAGAACCACTGTTTGTACCTGTTCAAACCGGCCCGTTTCGTAGCCGATGCCGAGATAATGAGGGACACGAGCGTCCGGATTTCCCTCTTTGTATCTAAACCCCATCTAAATCCATCCTTTTGGGGAGAGCCAAACCAACTCGTGTTCTACATGGGATATACATTGATTGGTATTGACAACCGGTTGTCAGAAATTTTCTTAATCTATCTCTCTCTCTCTCTTTCTCTTTCTCTCGGGATACATTTACGAGAACAACTGCTGCGCGTATCTAGCAGTTCTTTTACTTTTTTCGTTCCTATTTTCTTGTTTTTTATTATTTTATTTTTTTGTTTTCCCTTCCTTTATTTTTTCTCATTCGTCTAGTAGGTAGTAAAAGGTTGTACGCTCGTTTATATTATATGATACTTCTCGAATCGTTCCAACAAAACAACACTTTTTCTCTATCGTCTTTCGATATATCTATCTATTTATAGACGCCTTGTTCTAATGAAGCTATTAGATTTACAAGCGATAACTTGAAAGGACCCGTCGCAATAACTCTTTCGAATTATATACCAAGGAGGAGAATAGCGATTTCACTATCCCTTTTTTGTTTTTTGAGGATATTATTACTTCCTTTAGTTAAACTTTATTTGACTTATTTGAACTGTTATTCGCACGTGCTGGTATAGAAATTTTATCGATCCTTAACCTAACGGTTAACTATATCCGATATGCTTTCTCGTGTGATAAATAATATATTTTTTCTTATATAGATATTTCCTGGTGTGTATACAATACAGGAGCTTAGTTTCGTGACTTGTCGATTAATATCTGTATATATTTATCTGGTCTAATCAATCGGATAATTTTTTAACAAATAGTCTTGTAAAACTGTAACGAAGGTTTAACATGCGTCGATGATATTTTCGATCTTTTATAGATACATTAATTATCTTTTTGTATCTTTATTTTTTTCCATTTCTAGTGCTGGACACTTATGATTTTTCGATTAAGCTAGGTAAATAGTACTCGGCAAGCTAAACATCACTCACGAAGGTAGAAACGAGTATTTGGTCAAGGCCCGATACGATGTTTTCCCAAGTAACGTTCAGACTTTGCTCTTGTAAAGAGAGTAGAACTCGGCCCACATTCGTTACATCGACAGTTAAATGGAACAAGCTCGTTGAAATGCGAGTAGATATATATATATATATATATCGGAATTTGTGATCTATCTTAATCTTAGAATCTTTTTTTTTTAAACCGAAAATCCGAACTTTACAGGAAAACAACTACTTTTTCTTTCACAGTTGGTCAAGTTCGAAAAAAGTTAGACGAAAATCACGATCTATTAGTAACTTTTAAAGAAAAATCAAAGGAAGAAACGAATGAACGAAACGAACGAACGAAAGAACTTTATTCCGGAGATAAATAATACTATGTTCGAAATCTCTTATTTTCAAAGAAGAAATTTAGAAAAGACAAAGAATAATATAGAACATCGTCTAGTTGTCAAAGGAGATATATAAATTCAAAGTAAGCTTGTGGTCGTACAATAAAGTTCCGTTGCCCGAGGCTGAGAGTTCTCTTCTCGAGTATCGTTAAGTTAGAGAGAAAGAAAGACAGAGAGAGATACAGAGAGAGAGAGAGAGAGAGAGAGAAAGAGACAGTGAACATGACACAGTAAACTTTATTCGTGATACCGAATGTAATAAGCAGACTGTGAGCAGTTCCTTTGGTTCGCACATTAATTAGACGACGTAGTTAATTATCGTACTCGTTGGTGTTACTATTTCGTTCCAATGATTAGTCTTAATTAAACTACG